TTCGTAAATGATGTAAAAACCGCCATTTACCGCTCCTCTTCTTAATAACAAAAATAGGTGTGTTCCAAGGGCTTGTGGTGGGCAATAGTATGTCCCTTTTGTAATTGTTCTGCAATGAGATCATGCAATGTGTGCTATCAAATGGACCAATACTATTTGAAAGCAAAACTAGACTGTTTTTGGTGATACCAGTGCTAAATACAATTTTTATTATTGGTAAAACTGAAAGTAGAAATCTGTCCCTGGTTCAAATTCTGTCCTGGCAATATAATGTCTTTCCACTAGACAAGAATTTAATCCATTAGATACAGGCAAACATGTATAAATAAGTGAACTGGATTTTCTGTAAAATTAGAACAAGTTCTGGAGAGAGATTAAAGCAGTCATCCTTTTTCTCCGCTTCAGCAGCTTGATTTGTTTAACTCCAGCACCGTGTGTGTTTTAAGTGCAGAAAGACAAGAACAGATTATCTTGACTTTGCTTTCCAGGCAGTTGTCTGAACTGTGGCAAGAGGTGGCAAATCAACAGACCTGAAAACGGAACAAAAGCCACTCTTACCATGCCCAAGGTGGGGAGATCCAACTTGCATTAATTCTGCTGACCAAGAACCCACCCGGCTCCTAAGTGAGTAAGGAATGTATAGGGAAGCTTGTGCTGGTGTCCTTCACTGCATGTGACCATGGCCATCAGGTGGATGCACACGTGGGGCATAGCTCAGCTCCCTGCCACACAGGAGAGTCTGCAGCCACCACCTCTGACTGAGCGCAACTGCCAAAGGAAGGGGAAGTTTTTCTGTTTGATTTTTTACAGCTGCTGCTGCTGCTGCCGCCATCAGTCTGGTGTCAGAGGGAAGACCTTATTTTCACAGTAATTTTGCAAACTGACGTACCTCTTTAAGTAGCAGGTAGAACCCAGGTGAGATAGCATCCACACAAAATTAGATACTAAGTGAAGACTAAGAAGGAAAGTTGGCCAGAGGTGTGCAATAGTAAAACCCAACTGACCACAAGTTGGTCAGCGTTGGAGCTTGTTTGGAGCTGCTAAGATATGTCCCCCCAGCAGAGAGACTTCACCAGCACTCTGCCGAGGGGATACCCCCAAGCACTGGGGTACCAGCCTGGCACTGATGCCACTCAGTACCTGTAGAGCTGGAACAAACCAGCTCTGACAGAGCTCACAGAAACTTCATGCAGTCCAAGGGAACAAATATAGGCCAAATGGGATGAAGATGGCTTCAGTGGGTCCCTACTTCAAAGGGAGTATGTAGCTGTTTAAAAAGCTGTTGAATAAGGACTTAGGGAGAGAAAGTGGAAGGGCACAGAGGAACAGACGTGTATAAGTTTCCTGAAGGAAGGCACTGAAGTGTGTTTCTGTGTCTCATCAGTTAGGTCTGAACTGACAAGAATACACAGGCTCTAGCTTAGGACTTGCCCCAGGGCCATCTCAAAGACATCCCCATCACTAAGCTGCCAGGATTGTGTGGAAGACAAAGCTCAAAGGCTTTTATTTCAGTTGGTAACTACTTCTTAGAGAGCTAGATCAAACCACTGTTTGGTGCCTCCTCATGATGCTGCACATGGCTGAGAGAGAGGCCACTTCTCTCCCCGAGCAGCAAAGGGTCCAACCTTCACAGCAAGTGCAAGACCAGCAAAGGCAGATAATCTTGGGCAAAGCTAAAAAAAAGCAGGAAAAAGCTGGTTTGGGCACTGATGCTGTTTGCATCAGCAATCCCCAAGGGTTGAGCTATCTAGTCCTCCCTGCCTTGACTTACCAATCTATCCTGTTTTGTCTCTGCAGTTGTGATTTCCAGCATATCTGGATGATGACAAATCACATGTAAAACAGGAGAGGAGTAAAACAGCATAATGAAATTTTATTTTGAAAATATGGCAAGAATCTAAGGCACTTCAAACATTTCAATACACGTGACCAAAGTGAATGTGACATGGTAGTAGCATTCCATAAATATGCACCAAGAACTATGCTCAACTCCATTCAAGGGGAATATACAGCTGGTACCTCTAATTTTACTCTCCAATAAACATGTATGAGGCTTACAGACTGACACAGTTAATAAAAATATGGTAACAGGACACAATTCTTCATGTAGTTTTTAATTAAGGAATATAAAATGTTGAAAATACTGTGCGAGTTAATTTTATAGATACTAGTATCTTTCATATAAAAAGTTATACATTATCCCCAATTAGCGACAACTTATTTAGTGAACTTCGGACCTGACAAGAGGCTTTATCCCCAACACCTACCCATTCACCCACCAGCTCAAGATCCACGGAGCTGACTGCATAAGCAACTGCAACTTCTGAATTTCAAAGTTAGTAAAACCATCATAATCATGTTGGAATGAAATTTATGAAAAGGTTACTGTGATAAAAGTCTAGGCACAGTAAATATAAGTATGTTTTAGAATGATTAAAAACAAGCCACCGGGACACCCTTGCAAAGGTAGCTTTAAGTCTTACGCTGGACATAACATAGGAAAGGATAATCTACAGCACAGAAAAATAGATGTATGCCACTGTACAGAAAGACAAGTAGGTGAGCAAAAGAACAGTTTTGGCTAAGGTTCTCACCTGAGCACTACTTAACTATATGCTTGCTTCAAGTTTACAGTTTTCTATCTTTAGCACTAGATCTCTGCTTTCACTTTGCTGGTGAGTTCAGGCACAAGACAATTACATTCAGTATCTGTCTCAGTAAAACAGTAACATTTAGCAGCTTAAAGATGGCATAGAGATTTTTACAATTATTCATGCACTACTACTCAAATGTGACTCTGTGGGTGGGACCAGGAGATGTCTTTCTGCTAAGCCTAGGAGTGCTCTGGAAAAGATGAAAGGACAATTAATCAAAAGAAATAATTTCAGCCAGCTGAATGATAACACAGTACTCACAATTACTTCGTTCAATCTCTTGCCTTTAATTGCACAGATTAATCTTTCTCTTTTTTTTTTTTCATTTTAAGAAGAACAGTGCTGGCTATCATACAGCCTACTAACTGAAAATGCATGTTATTTAGACAGTGAAATGATTGGCAGCAGTTTATCAGGAAGGTGAGTCAGGGCTTGGAGAGCAGGTGCACATTTGCCAGAACACCTATGACAGCTGTAACTCCAGAAACAGCTGTGTTTTGGTGACTAGATCAATAATTAGCATTATGATAATGCAGCAGCACCTCTGCACACTAGCCACAGTCAGTGAACCTTGCTACTGTGCTACCTTTACCCCCAGATAAAAGGGAGGAGGAGGTATCCTTAAGTCAGGGTTAATACTTCTGCAGACAACATATATTTAAAAATGTATGTTTCACTTACTAGCATAAACATTATCCTGTGAATAAACTTGAAAATTCATATGCAGTATGGCTGTACAGCTGCTGGGGGTGGTGGTGGCATCATTTTTTGTTCATGTTTTGCTATTATGTACAGGAACAGCACATTAAAATGTATTGTGTACTAACCGGTGACTGGGTTTTGGAAAAGTTGACATGAGCATAAAGGAGAACCGCGATATCCTTATGTCCAGCTTCCAAGGCTATTGAAAGTGCTGTGCTGCCATCCTGAGAGGAGAAAGGAAGAAACAGGAGAATTAGTGCTTATGTCCATTAACAGACCTCTTAAAAGCCCCATCAGCCCACTGAGAAGGGAACTTAGGAAGTGGAGGCCCCACTGCTCAGACAGACAGATGGGTTAATTTAGAGTCTTGTTTAATTTCTTTTATTGTAATTAAGTGAAAATAAGCCTTGCACTGCTGTTTTATGAGGCAGTCCAATTGTCAGAGGCCTCATAATTTCTCTCAATGAGGAGTCACGATTATTGCTGAGGAAGAAGGAGCATGGCATTATCACAATAATGTTACATATAGTGCTGTGTAAGACCAGTGATTTCAGAAGATTGGTCTGTCTGAGAGAAACTATGTCAGTAAGGAGTGGAAGAGAAGGGAGGGATAAATACTAATCAAGTATCATGATAACTGCTGTGCTATAATGATAATTGTTGTGTTATAGCTCTCATTAAGAGTGGCTGCAGTCATAATTCCAAATGCTCTTTGATGGAAGTCTAACTACAAACTGTCACCTCTGTTTCTCAGAAGTTACTGCTTTCAGAAACCATGGTGGCTGAGGCTGCTAGGAACAAAGACTGCTTTTGCCTAAAAGGTAATATACTGACCTGTTCCAGACCATGTTTGGTCCAGGAAGAAGCATATGTCAGACAACCTGCGATGTGAACCTCTGAGCTGTCAGAGGGGCACACTTGTATGAAGCTGCCACGCCCCAACTCTGCTTTCCTTGCTTCCTTCCCTTCCTGAAACTGGCACATCACAAGGCTACAACACCCTGCTCTATAATGGTGTTTAAATTACAAGACAGGCAGCTACAACCTCAACACAAATCTCATGGTGGCTTGCTGGTCCACTGCCTGAGTGGTGGCTCTTGTGCACCAGTTTCCACAATAATGCCAGTATTTGGTATGTCCTCTCATAGGAATCATCTCTTATGTTGACTCTCTGAACACAGCATATTTTCCAGCCACTGAAACAGCACTGGTATTAGATGTCAGCAGCAGGAAACTGTAAACCCTTTTTCCAGAATCAGAAACGATGGACAGCATCCAAGTGGAAAGTCGTCTTATAAGGCTACAGGGAGTGATTATACATAAATCGACTTGTCCTGAGCAGACAGGGAGCTAGAAGAGCTGTCCGCTACAGTGCAATATAATGCACTACAAATGCACAGCAAACACTCCACAGTCAACACCAAGATCTTAAAATGATGCTGAATCACTGTCAGAGTGGCACGCATCATTAGAATGAAGCTCAGCTTACTACTGATCCTGCTGACTGGAAAAGCATCACTGTCAATTCAGAACAGGTAGAAGAATGCTAAACATCTCATAATCTCCCAGCACAGACAAACCTGTTGTAAAATGAATAAGCAGCAGACAAGCTGTGCTTGGGAAACAGTATCAAACTGCCTACATGAATAGTTAAGTGTCCTGTCCTTACGAAGACTTTAATTACTGAGTTGAATATTAATAGTGCTAACAGCACCCAGGCTGCAGTAACCTAGACTGCCCCCAGAAGGGTTTGTGACACTGAGGACTTCTTGCACTTTTCCCCTCAGGCCAGCTGTTACGCACCACTGGCACCATCAGGAACTAAGCCAGCACCTGCAGCAGGTGAGTGAATAAACAGAAATGACGTCTCTGCATTTCTGCACCAGCTTCAACAAATAACCACCCACTGCCCTCCCAAATCCGAAACACAGGCTCCATTTCAGTACTCAGTGGGTAAAAGCAATATTAAGAATGGAAGTGTAGCCAAGAAGTGATGTTGTTAACAAGAACACTGTGCTGGCAAGAAACCAGCTAAGTCAACATCTTCAAGCTTGAGAGGTCTACAGATTAAATTGACTGCTGACAGTGTAGGCTGCAATGATCCTTGCAAACAAGAAACATGCAAGTGTTTCACTCGGCACTGAAGTCACAGCCTGTATCTGGTTATTGTCAGGACAACGTAGCTTCTTCATGACTGAGACCAAACCTGTACTCTCAAAAGTCATGGTGTAGATACTGTGTGAACATCCCATGAAAAAAAGTGTAGGGCTGACGTTTGCCACAGACACAGAAATCAACACAGCAAAGCTGTTAAGTCACTAGGTAAGGTCCTAACTGAAAACTGGAAAACTCTTGGGAAAGGGGGAAGAAATGTAAGATGGGAAGATGTATTACCATTAGCTAGAAAATGGTTTATCTCTTCTCGTGCACATCTATAGCCAATCACTAAAACAGCTGCTGGGTAGGTCTGTTAGAAAACCAGAGATACGAGCCAAATAATCACAGCATTTGCTACCACTAAGCAGAGGATTAATTAGAAATTAGAAAAACATTCTGGAGCGGAGAAGCCATCTGATGAAGCACTATCTGGAAAGGCAACTCACATTGTCCTCCAGGGTGCCATTACACCCAGGCTGAGCCAGCAGAAGTTTGACAATCTCTACATGTCCGTGTTCACTAGCACACATCAGGGCTGTAGAGCCCTCGTCATCCTGGATATTGACGTCTGCACCACAGGCCAGTAAAGCTTTAACCATGTCTATCCGCCCATGACTCACAGCTAGCATCAATGCAGTCTGACCAGCCTGCAGAGAAAGAAGAGGAAACCTTAAATCACCACACAGACAAGCAGTGACAAAGCACGCACACTTAATTTTTTGACAGAGTGCTTCTTCTGAGGGGGAAAAAAATAAATTGTTACTTTATACAGTACTTTCAAGGCTCTGCTTGACATTATTTAAATACCTTTTATGCACAATATATCCCACATTCACATAGCTATTTATTAAATTAAAGGAAGATATCAGATCTATTTCCAGACATCTAGATTTCCTTGGAAGGAACTAAATGGTGCAGAATTTGTAAATGTCTTCTGAAATTCAGTAATGGTTCTTTCATATAATATTCAATCTTCATTTTCAGAAGAGATCCAAACCTGAGGCTCAACTGTTCTTTCACGGCTCCATTTTGTATACAGCAATCAAAAACATATACACAAAACATCCCCATACTGCAGAGGGTGAGACTGAACGAGTTCAAATCTGAATGGGTGGAGCAGGGATGGGAGCATGGAAGGAAAGATAAAAAGCCACAGGAGAAGGAACAGTGCCTTGTGCTTGACTGACCTGGCTGGCTTTAGCATTCACGTCCCCAAAGCTGAACAGTTCCTCCACTATCCTCATGTCCTTCTCCACTTCCACAGCTGCAAGTGCAGCGAGCATGATAGGGGTATAGCCGGCCTTGTTCTGGTGATTTACATTACAGACATCTGCAGAGGGATGAGATAATTTCTTCGGAAAGCAGGAACCCAAAAAGCAGCAATTGTGCTAATGAACTGAATAAACTGTTAGTAGAGCAGCCTATAAAAAGAAAAGGCAGCAACTGCTCTGATAATGGAAGCAATTCAAGAGAAAGTGGAGAAGAAAAAAATAAACAGGGGTCCTCTAGAGCCTGAGAAAAAAGGATTCTCTTCTATTACGCATGCAATACAACAGAGAGCACAAAACCATTTAATATGTCATCATTTAGGGCTTGCTTTGTGCATTTTTTTGTTTTGCAAAAGCAAGTGGTCTGAAATTTGACATGACCATTGCGGTCATGGGTCCAAACCCCAGGAATACCATTAGGAGAGTCTTTAAGCTCCTCTCCTGCGGGAATCCACACTGCAAAACAACATTCTCTTCCAGTAACATTCTCTTCAGCACAAACATTTTCCTGTAATTGGTGTTATTTTAAAGATCTGCAAGTGTACTTTGACATGTTTTGGAGATGCAGAAAGAACCTTCCAATTAAAGACTGTAACTAGCTCTATAGAGTATTTGACTTGAACAAAAGTACCCTGGGAACAAACACAGCAAGGTCTTCTGACTAGTGCCAGCAGCTGACAAGAGTTCTCCTTTTCGTTCAAGTCTAACCTCCAGTCTGTCTCTGTTCCTATGATTCTGCAGAAATCCAGCAGGACTTACTAGTTTACCAGGCAGCAAGGCTTTCAACATGCTTATCGTACTGGAAAGCAAGGACTCAGACTTACAAAAACAGTACCTCTAGACCTGGGGTTAAATTGCACCACAGATATCTTCAGTAGCAAAAATGCTTAAGGAAATTCTTCAAATTTATTGTCAAACACTTTTTTTTTTCCCTTGAAGTGAAAAGAGCATTGCAGAAGCAATACAAGTGCAGATGTAAGAAAATGCTTTTTCTCATGTTCCATAGATACCTCCTGTGCTATCTCACAACCAGTAGCCCAACCTTACCTTCAGTGACTTCCCAGAAGTGACTTCTGAAGCCACAGAACATGATGCTCAGCTACATGGCATTACTTCATGAGCGATGAATAATTACTGGAAGTGATGCTCTCCTATCCTGACTAGATTTATTCAGCAGAGGTCACATATAATCTACTTTTCCGTATGGCTAATAAGCAGAGTTGTTTTCCTATTTATAGTCTTGGTATAACTGCATGGTGATATAGAGGAGTTTCTTCTCTCATCTGCTCTTCCCACCAGACAGAGTTCTTGGACCAAGAATCTGTCAGTGATATAACTACGTTGCAAAATGACCATTTAGACATGGTCCAGAGGAAGACTGTCAAAACCTGAAGAAATGTGCCTGTTTTCAAATATTTTCCAAGTACTGGCACGCACAGTGTGCTCCCACACACCTGGCTCTAGTCATGGTTGTTGGATTTTACAGTTAAAACCTGCTGTCTCCATAGGAACACACCAACTGCTGTAAACTACAGGATTCCTGACTTCCAGCAGCAGATGACTGTGCTTATGCTACCCTGGGATACCCTGGGATGCAGAGGGACAGCTTCCTCCCACCACAGCGCTGCAGAGCCAGCCTGCTGCATTTTCCTGTGCTCCTGACATTCCCCGCATTCCCCCACTGTGACTCACTCTTCCCAACAGGCTGCCTTCTAACAGGAACAGAGACTTCAAAGCACTCCCCTTCCTAGAAGTCTCTGCAGTGTCAGATGTGCTGCGTTATCAAAGCTGAGATCTGTATCATTAATATTGCTGTTTATCCAATGTTATCCTTCTTGATTTATAAATATTGCTAGGCTTACACTCCAGCCGTGTCACTGGCCTAGTTAAGCTCCACAGCCAATTGTGACAGGTTTTATAACTAGTTTAGGGAAAGAAACTTCAGTCAGGGAGCAAAACTAGGCTTAGACAGATCACATCTGCCTGAGACCAGCTCCAGCATGTGACACCTTCTGCTGACTGCCTTCTGGCTTAGAGCATGTAAGGAGAAGCTCTGGAGTCATCCCTCTGCTACTGCTCTCTCTTCATGTGTGTGGCAAGGGGATGGCGAGAAGGAAGCAACAACAAAAGTAACTAAATGAAGCATCATCACATTGCTCATGGATCAGGAAAATGCTCCTGTATGGCAGAATGCCATATTGGCCCAGCTTCTCAGGAACACAGTACAGATGTGAGAAGGCGGTGGCCAGAAAATCTTCTGTACTGCTCTAGTAAGATAAAGCTAGACTAGATTGTTTAACATCAGTGTTTATACCTGAATGCGTCTTCCTCCACCAGCACCCTACCTTTGGCTGAGCAGCAGCTGTGCTGGCTCCAGAGAAAACTGCTGGAGGTTGGTGCTGCTGATCTTGGACTACAGTCTAAGAGTCAGGGACCTACCTATCTGACCCAACCACTGGTCAACGCTGTACATAATTTACTTGAGTGTCTTTGTAACTTCTTCAAGAGCCATCACCATCACCTCCAAAACTAGCACGAAAAACAAGGATTCTAGATTACCCAAGTGAGCCACCATGTACCTGCTAACAGTTACAACAGTTCTGGAAGAAGCCCAGACTTGACCTCTTGCTCATCATGAATTCCCCCCATGAGGACTGTAAAGAACAATATTAAAAAATATGCAAACAAGTCAACCTACTTGCATCCAGAAGCAGCTTTACAATTTCAAAGTTAGAATGTGAGACGCTGTAATGCAGAGCCGTGTTTCCGTTTCCATCTGCCATATTGATGATATGTCTGAGGACAGCAGGAGAAATCTCTTCAAAAGCAGTTATGTAGTCTCCAACCATTTCAGGGACAGCTGACTTCTGACTTGAGACACGAAACCACTCGTGCTGGATGGTATTTAAACAAAACCTCTGCCAAAACCAAGAGAGAAAAATTTACATAAAGGGAATCTATTCAAAGAATTTTCCATTCCACAACACAGCGATGCAGGAGGTCAAGCCTTTTTTAGTCAAATGTGGGAAGAAAGTCTGTAGCTTACAAACAACATATACAGACTGAAGCTTCTCCTCTGACTAAACCTCTCTTTAAACACCAATTGTTTACTTCCTCTCATTTTGCCTACTTTTCAGGAATGGTTCACTTCTGAGGGCACAGAATTTTATTCTTACATTACCCCCAAAATTAAGGAGTATCAAATACTTGTGAACAGAAAAAAAGACTTGGACTAACCATTTCCATGAAATACTTAACATAAATCAGTGATGAATGCAAGACTAAGAGCAGTGGGAAGACACATTTCTCAAGGACTTAAAACAACAGTATACTAAGTCGATGAGGTCCAATCTTGAGGCATGAATTATCAAATGTACAAAATACAGAACTAGCTGGAGAGCAGTTCTGCAGGAAGAGAGCTGGGCATTACAGAGGATCACAAGCTGAGCCTGAGTCAACAACATCACACTGTAATGAAGAAGGCAAATACTGTTTTGGGGTGAATAAACAGATTTATTGCTTGCATGGCACATAATGCAGTCCCTTCTCTCTGCTTAGCATTATCATGGCAACATCTGGACTACCTAGCCTGGTCTGAACTCTGAATGACAAGAAAGATTTGGTTGAAATGGTTTCAAAGGTGAGCAGCAAGAATGATTAGAAGTGAAATCCAGTTGGCAACCAGTCACAAGCGGTGTCACAGCCAGTCCTGTTTAACATCTTTATCAGTGATCTGGATGAGGGGATTGAGTGCTCCCTCAGCAAGTTTGCAGATGACACCAAGTTGGGAGGGAGTGTTGATCTGCCTGAGGGTAGGAAGGCTCTGCAGAGGGACCTGGATAGGCTGAATCAATGGGCTGAGGCCAACTGTATGAGCTTCAACAAGGCCAAGTGCCGGGTCCTGCACTTTGGTCATAATAACCCCACGCAGCGCTACAGGCTTGGGGATGAGTGTCTGGAAAGCTGCCAGGCAGAAAAGGTCCTGGAGATGTTGGAGGACAGCAGGATGACCATGAGCCAGCAATGTGCCCTTGCGGCCAAGAAGGCCAATGGCATCCTGGGGTGTATCAGAAGGGGTGTGGTGAGTAGGTCAGAGAGGTTCTCCTTCCCCTTTATTCTGCCCTGGTGGGACCGCATCTGGAATATT